CCCAGAGTAAGTGGGTAGCACTGGCTTCCCCCAACCCTTCCCACACCCGGTGGGCTGCTATGGGCAGGAGGGACTTTTGGACCATGGAAGGGTTTTCCCCTTCAAAGTAGTGACTGGCCTAGGAAGAAAATGGCTTATGAAGTGGGGAACTCTCACCTCTGAGAGAAGCAAGAGACAGTGGGAGGGTCACTGTGAGCCCCTGAGGCATCCCAAAAATCCACCAGGAAGCACTAGACCCAGTGGGGTATGTCCAGAGCTCTGCCACACAGGCTCCCCTGGAGTTATATTCCTGACTGTCTTGGCTATTAACCATTGAAAGACCGATCTTCCATGAACAAATCTAAATCTTTTATTTTAACCCAGTTATCCTTTTGGCTGCCACAGCATTCAGTGGCAATGGCTTTGTGTTGTATGAAGTACTTCTTTTTGTTTGTTTAAAACCTGCTGCCTAGTCAGTTCACTGGGTGATCCCTGCTTCTTGTGTTCTACAAAGCGTAATTGACTGTTCTTTATTCACTTTGTCCACCCTTAAGCTTTGTAAGACCGCTACCCTCTGGCCAATTAGTCGTCTCTTCCATACTGAAGAGCCCCAGTCTTTTTAATCTCTCCTCATACAAATGCTGTTTCAGACCCTTAAAACATTTTTGTTGCCCTTCTCAGTACATTTTCCATTTCTAATGTTATATTTTTTTAGACAGGGCAACCAGAATTGTTCTGCAGTAGTCAAGGTGTGGGCATACCCTGGATGTATGCAGCAGCATTGTTATTTACTGTCTTATGTATCCCTTTCCCAACGGTTCCTAACATTGTTTGCTTTCTTGACTGGCTCTGCACATTGAGCAGAAGTTTTCATGCAACTATCTATGATGGGGCCAAGAGCTCTTCATTGCGTGGAAACAGCTAATTTAGACCCTGTCGCTTTGTATGTACAGTTGGATTCTGTTTTCCAATGTGCATTACTTTGCATTTTACTTTATTTTAATCTGCCATTTTGTTGCCCAGTTTTGTGAGATTGACTTGTAACTCTGTGGTCAGCTTTGGACTTAGCTAGCCTGAGTAATTGTGTGTTCTCTGCAAATGTTGCCACCTCACTGTTCACCTGCTTTTCCAGATAATTTATGAATATTCTGAACAGCATTTGTCCCAGTACTGGTCCTTGTGCCATTTTCTAACATGACACAAAATGTAAACATTAAGAATCTAATAATGTGTATTAAGCTATATAACTGCTTAACATACGTATACAGTCTATCCTTTTGGTTAGCTGAAAGCACCAAATTATAACAGCCGTTGAGCATCAAGAATATAACTCAAGCAAAAGGTTATAACAGATTATTTAACTTCGTATTATTAAAATCAGGTCAGCTTATGCAAACTGATTTGTGCGCTTTCTTTTCTGAGACGCTGATGGCCATAAGGGACCATACTGCCCCTGTCTGGGGTCAGCCTTTGAGGCAGCATGCAAAAGAAGCAGATGACGGACCGTTCATATACATGTATATAGTTGGTTTCATTGATCTCATGCCCCTGAGAATGTTCACACCTAAGGGAGGTGGCTGAGGTGATAGCTACTTGGACTTGCCTACTTGGATAGAGGAAGTCGCTCTTTCAGGAAATTTCTCCCTCAGCTAAAAATGCTGAACCCTGGAAGTAGGCAAGACAGCCAAGTTTACCCTTGACAGTGATGATAGTTTGAATTTAGACTGAGGGACCTTGTGGCCTTAGAGACCAGAAAGGCATGGTGAGCCAGGAAACTCTTACTGCCTGTTTTTTCTGCATCTGTGCTGCTGTTCCTCTTGCCTTCATGGGGCAAGGCCCCAAGGCAGGGGTGGGGGACCTAAGGCCCAGGGACTGGATGCAGCCCCTAGCTTGCTTGGATCTGGCCCCCAAGGCTCAGGGCCCCCCCTGCATTGGAGAGCCCATGCTGGCACTCCAGCTCTCCCACTGTCCCATCGTGGGGTGGAGCACACACAATCTACTAGCCTGGGCCCCCCTAGGCTCTGGTCTGGGGGTCACATCCGTGATTGGTTTTGTTTTGTTTTTTTGCACTCATGTGCAACCCCTGACTGATTTTTCTGTGGGTCAGCAGCCCCTGGCCCAAAAAAGGTTCCTCACCCTTGACCTCAGGGAAGGAGGGCTGGTGAGTGGTGACTTGCAGTCGCAGCACCCCAATGCTTTTAGACCACGGGTCTCAACCTTTCCAGATGACTGTACCCCTTTTAGGAGACTGATTTGTCTTGCTTACCCCGTCCCCATTTCACCCCACTTAGAAACAACATGCTTATAAATTAAGACCTAATGTAAAGTACAAAAAGTGTCACAACCCCCCCATTACTGACAAATTGCTTTACTTTCCCATGATTACCTTGTAAGTACAGGATTTGTATGCCTACTGGTTTATGCTTATATTTCAGTGTATAGTCTACAGAGCAGTCATTGTCAGTATGAAACTGTAGTTGGCACTGCCTTCGCTAGTGCTTTTTATGGGGCTTGCTGTAAAACTAGGCAAATTGTTACTGTACCTCCTGGACAGCCTCTGTGTACCCCTAGGCTATGCAGACCTGTCACTGCAAATCACTGCATTTAGATGTTAGGAAATACCCATCCCTCTTCCATTGAACCTTGTCTAGAACTCCTGCAGACTTCTTACGCCGTTGCGCTAGATGGTGTGTGAAAGTCTACTCTTTATTTTTAGTGTGTGTTTCACAGATTGATTCACCAACTCTGGTTTAGACCGTGAGCATTTTTAGTTCCCTGCATGTGTGGCTAGAAGAATCAGCACACCCATGGGCTTCTTTCCTGCATGGCTCTGTCCTGTTGCGCTCTGAGCATCAGAAGGGGGAAAGTGCTGCTTTAATTTCCCCTCTGAGTTCACCCCCATAGTTCTGCTTCAGAGCAGGGGCCGAAATTAGCCTGAGCCAGTGCTCCAGAGTATCTCATGCAGTTATGATCTCTGTCCTCTGCCTCCCTTCCCTCCATGGAATCTTCTGGGCTGCTGAAGGAAGGTACAAGGATGAGCGCTCCAAAAACCTCACCCCTCTTCCTGGCATGGGATCCACACGAGCCAGATGAGTCTGTTTCCCAAGGAGGCCCCAACCAGGGATTGGAGTAGCACGGCCGGAGCAGCTGTTGTTCAAGTGGTGACAGCAGGGTGGGCGCTTGGCCCACAGACCAGAGCAGGAAGTGCCCATGCTGTATTCAGTGCCCTTTCTCAATGGCCCAAGGAGAGGGAGGAGGTTGCAAGAGAGCTCTGCAGGCAGAAGCATGGACTCTGCTGCAGGCTGTCAGGACCTAGGTGCCATCTTCCACCTAGGTGAGGAACTTGCCCCACAGCCAATTTCTCCAATCCCCTCTACCTTTCTTGTGTGGAAAAAGGGAGGCCCACAGTGACACCCCACTCCCAGCCCATCCAGGAGAGTGGCAGGGTACACAGACCTTTCCTTTTGCTGTTGGGTTTCCAGGGCCAGAGCTGAGCCCAGAACAGCCTACAGAGGCACTAACTCCAACAAATGCCTCAGAAGGGGAAACAGAGCCAAGGAAACAAACTCCTCAAGCATCAAAAGGGAAATTAGACACTGAATTTAGAAGTGTTAGCATTTCCCTCCAAAAAGCTCTGCAGCTCAGAGATCTACAGGAGTTACCTAGTGCCAAGGAAGGCTCAAAGTACTAGGGGCCTGAGGCAGCTGAAAAAATCATTGGGATTCACAAAACAGCACCATCTCAACTACCAATAGTGTCTAGGTGGTAGGAGGCTGCTAAGTCCCACACTTTTCAGGGGGTTCTTGCCTCTCATTTAGGATTTGCAACTGTGATCCCTCTCCTAGAGTAGCACTTCCTCTGCAAGAAACAATTTGCCTAAGCTCCTTTAGCATATTGGCTAGGGTATGTGAGTTATGAAAGATTCCGTTAGTCTTAGCCCTCCCTGCAAAGAAATTTGACTCTGTACACCCCCTGCCCTAATCCTAGAGGCTATTTTGAGGTATAGTTCTATTAGCCTTTCCTGTTGTAGCTGGCCCACCTTGAAGCAGAGGGACTATACACCAGCTCTTAGCTCCAGCAGGCAGAAATGGAGCTAGAGCTGTAAGGCTACCACTTATCTCTCTTGAACACTGGGCTTAAAGTTGAGTGTGCCATCTACCCCCAACTACATTGTATGGAGTTATACAACATAGAAGTATCACTTTAGGGTCCATAGAAGTTAGATGGTGGAATACTTGCTTCCCTCTTGTGAATTGCTCTGGCCCTTTCACACCTGCTTCCTACCCCAAAGCAGAAACCTCGGTCAGGATTAGACTAGGAAACCAGGCTGATATAACATTACCACACAGGTGTTTTAAAAAACCACCCCAACCAAGTTAAACCAACCTAATCCTCACTGTAGACTGCTATGTTTGAGGCCAACTTCTCATGCTGAAAAAGCTAGCACGTTTGTGGGAGGCACACCTAGTGACAGATGCTGCAGTGTTTTTATTGTAGGGCTGACCAGGAAACATCTACAGCAAAAATGTAAGGGGCCCCGGTTTAGAAAGCTAGAGGATTCCATGGCAGCCAAGTAATTTTTGTAAATATCCTTGTCACATAAATTTGCACCTTAAGCACCTACATGTTAACTAGGCACCTCACCCCCATAGGGCAGGGATCTTGTTTTTCCTTGAGCACTGGACTAACCCAGGCTTCCCCAACCCGAAACTGATTTGAATCTTGGGCATTACCAGCAAGCCAAAGAAATTTCTGGCCTTCTCCTTTAAAGCAGCAGCTTCTTCCCACCATCAGACCACCACCCAGCAAACCTGCAAAAATTGAAACTACTTGTATTTAAAACTTGCTTTCAAATACAAGATCCTTGCAGCACACCCCATGGGGACTATGCAAGTTGAGTACAAACCTGTATTTTGCAGCCATTCATCAATTATGCAGTAAATGTTCCAGTGTACAGAATATTCAGTAAGTTTACTGCAACTTGAGATGGAAAATGTTTAATTATAAATTTTGTTTTCTAGCCCTCAGACACAGCTACGCCTTAACATTTGGCAACAGTACCCGCAAAGTCTACCAGAAAATGCACACGCAAAAATGCACGCAGTGAAAAATGCTTTAATTGCGGTGTCTATACAGCATTCGACATGAAGTCACCAGGAAACAGCAGTGGAAGGTACACAGACATCAATAAAGACAAGTTTCTGAAGGGAGTTCATACAGCTTTAAACATAATTTACAGTAGCTAGCAGACAGATTTTTATGCTGCCTCTTCCTCAGCTTCCTCCTCAAACTCCCCCTCCTCCTCAGCTGTAGCATCCTGGTACTGCTGATACTCAGATACCAGGTCATTCATATTGCTCTCAGCTTCAGTGAACTCCATCTCATCCATGCCCTCTCCAGTGTACCAATGTAAGAAAGCCTTTCGGCGAAACATCGCAGTGAATTGCTCAGAAATGCGCTTGAATAGCTCCTGGATAGCTGTACTGTTACCAATGAATGTAGCAGACATTTTCAAGCCCCGGGGTGGGATATCACAGACAGCAGTTTTAACATTATTGGGAATCCATTCAACAAAGTAGCTGCTGTTCTTGTTTTGTACGTTAAGCATTTGTTCGTCTACCTCTTTCATGGACATGCGGCCTCTGAAAACTGCAGCTACAGTAAGGTAGCGGCCATGACGTGGGTCACATGCAGCCATCATGTTCTTTGCATCAAACATCTGCTGTGTGAGCTCTGGTACAGTTAAAGCACGATATTGCTGGCTCCCACGGCTGGTGAGTGGAGCAAAGCCAGGCATAAAAAAGTGCAAACGGGGGAAGGGAACCATGTTAACTGCTAGTTTACGCAAGTCAGCATTAAGCTGACCTGGAAAACGCAAGCAGGTGGTAACTCCACTCATGGTTGCTGAAACCAAATGGTTCAGATCACCATATGTTGGAGTAGTTAACTTAAGGGTTCTGAAACAGATGTCATATAGTGCTTCATTATCAATACAATAGGTTTCGTCTGTGTTTTCTACAAGTTGGTGTACAGAAAGAGTGGCATTGTAGGGCTCCACTACAGTGTCCGATACTTTGGGAGATGGTACAACACTGAAAGTGTTCATGATCCTGTCCGGATACTCTTCACGAATCTTGCTGATTAAGAGGGTGCCCATGCCAGAGCCAGTGCCCCCACCAAGGGAGTGGGTAAGCTGAAAGCCCTGAAGACAATCACAGCTTTCTGCTTCTTTCCTTACAACATCTAATACAGAGTCAACCAATTCTGCACCTTCTGTGTAGTGGCCCTTTGCCCAGTTGTTTCCTGCTCCACTCTGACCTGGAAGAAAGTCATGTCCACATCAAACCATTTCCTTGCAAGTAATATGCAGGATGAGCCCCAAATGTTATACCCTGACAATCCACAACCTTCTCCCCCCCCTTCCTTCTCAGGTAATGCCACTCATTTTAAACAATTTGCTACTAGTTTGCTTTCTACTTGTAAAAACGAACAGCCCCCTTTACCCAAGAACGGGCTGCAAAGCAGTCTGATTAGCGGGCTGTGCCGGTTACCGCCCTGCTGCGGGCAGAAGGGTTCATGGTGGGCTCACACCCTGACAATCCACAACCTTCTCCCCCCCCTTCCTTCTCAGGTAATGCCACTCATTTTAAACAATTTGCTACTAGTTTGCTTTCTACTTGTAAAAACGAACAGCCCCCTTTACCCAAGAACGGGCTGCAAAGCAGTCTGATTAGCGGGCTGTGCCGGTTACCGCCCTGCTGCGGGCAGAAGGGTTCATGGTGGGCTCACAACCGCCTTCCACCGCGCAGCGCCACTGGCAAGGGCCGGGGAGCAACGCGCCGCCCCCCCCCCGCACCCCCGAAACGCAGGTGG